TCATTTCAAACACCGCCATACGGCATCTACGGGAAAAATAAACAGTAAAATTACAACAGAAGCAAGAAACTAGAGTAGACCCATTTCCAGAGGCCCAAGGGAGGTGCACATAACACTCGAACAACCACTAAGGACCCAGCTATATAGCGGCCTTCGGTCGAAAGATCCAAACGGGACACCCTTCAATCTACCCATGTGGAAGGTGCGTTAGGCTCCCGGATGCCGATGCCGATGTAGAGACCCGATCCGGCGGAGGCCGATCCCTGGAGGCAGCAGGTGGGTCGCGAGGTTGCAAGATTTGGGATCCCCCGCGTGCACCTCCACCAATAGAAGCTGCCGGATGGAGGGGATCATCGCCAAATCTGCAAACAAATCAAAAAACAACGAACCCCTAACAAGATCTGCAAGATAGAGCCGAGGGTCGCCAGATCTGAAAAACAAACTATATAAGAACACAAAAAAACCAAACAACAAGAAAAAAACAAGAAAACCAAAGGGGTCACCAGAGGGGACCCAAAAACCGACAGACCGGGAAGGGTCGTCGAAGGAGGGAGCACAGGGCGGCTCCAACCATGCTTGAACGGCCAGGAAACCCACGGCTCAAGCATCAAAACCTCGGAAGCACAGAGGCTTCCAAGCAAAAAATAACGCAGCGCCGGAGAAGGGAGGCAGAAGCAGGAGAGAAAAGGGGGGAAGAGAGAGAAAGATCTGTACAAATATATATATTATTATTAAAAACAAATGAAGTAAAAGCAAACAAAAAAAAGCAAACCGTGCGGGTGCGGTGACATGGAAGCCGATGACAAACGGCGTCAGGAAGTCAGTTAGCGGAAGGGCTGATTTGCACCCATCGTGGGGTTGGAGGGCTTATTTGCCACTTTTTTAGTTCAGGGGGTTATCACTTGCTGTCGAAAAAGTTAAGGGGCTTAAGATGAGTTTTTGCCCTAAATAAACCCTCCAAAGTATTGTGTTTATTTATAATTCTACGTGGAAGGTGAGGAAGCGAGAGGGTGACGCGTGGCAGTTGACAGCTGTATGCTAGTAACTGCCTTGCCTGGAAGAATCCCCCAACGTTCAACGGCTATGACCGGTCATTGCTACCGGCTGAACCAGTCGTCCTTATCTCTTCTACTATATATACACCTCACGGCTCCCCTCTTCTTCTTCCTGCAAGCAAACGGTGAGGCTCCGCCTTCACCACTTCCCTCCGACGGAAAAATCAAATCCTCTTATTTTCTGTACAAATTTATTTATTTGTTTTAATTTAGAGGTAGCTAGAATTTTCTGGTTCTCTCCATGGCTTCTTCGTTGAAAGATGTGGATCGGATCAAGGGTCCATGGAGTCCCGAGGAAGATGAGGCCTTGCGGAGACTGGTCCAAAACTATGGTCCTAGAAACTGGTCTCTGATCAGTAAATCGATTCCTGGTCGATCGGGGAAATCTTGCAGGCTCCGGTGGTGCAATCAGCTCTCGCCGGAGGTCGAACACCGGCCGTTTTCCGCAGAGGAGGATGACACTATAATCCGAGCACATGCCAGATTTGGGAACAAGTGGGCAACCATCGCCCGTCTGCTCAATGGTCGCACCGATAACGCCATTAAAAACCACTGGAACTCAACGCTCAAGAGAAAATGCTCTGCCATGACGGATGACTTGAACGATGATTCCCATGTGCAGCAGCCGCTCAAAAGATCTGCCAGCGTCGGTACAGGCAATAGTGTATCGGCTCTGTACTTCAACCCGAGTAGCCCCTCCGGATCGGATTTGAGCGATTCAAGCTTACACGGTGTTGCTGCGTCTCCAGTTTATAGACCTTTAGCTAGAACAGCCTCTCTAGTCCCCCCTACTCATCCTGTCGAGGCGGCATCGTCGACAACTACAGATCCGCCCACGTCACTCAGCCTCTCGCTGCCTGGATCCAATTCGGGCGAGGTCTCGGATCGTGGAACTGCAGCTGGATCCAACCCAGTTTTGAACCCGACCCATATGACACCTGCTTCTGCCCCTGCTCCTGCTCCGGCTGTACCTTCGCAAGTGCAGAATGGTGAGTTGGGGCCCGAGAAGCAGTTTTTCAGTGCAGAGTTGTTGGCAGTGATGCAAGAGATGATCAGGAAGGAGGTGAGAACATACATGGGCGGAATTGAACAGAACGGTTTCTGCATCCAAACAGATGCTATCAGGAATGCTGTGGTTAAGCGAATTGGAATTAGCAGGATCGAGTAATTGGTGGTGATTGTGTCTGAGATAATGATCGGATTGAGTGGACTCAAGACTGAGATCGAAAAAAATGCAGAGTTCAACGACAAAAAAAAAAAAAATGTGAAGGGAAAATCTTTAATTTCCGTTTTTTAGTCTTTTTTTTTTTTGGGTTTAAGTTATTTTAATCTATGATTCTATGGGTCATAGAAATAATATATTTTGAGTAGTGTACATAGGAATAGAATGGGGAATGAAGCAAAAGAGGGATTTTGTGGAGGACGGGGAGGAGGTAGAGGGAAACTATGAGGAAAGAATTTGCTTTGAATATGAAAATGAAACCCAAAAATGAAGGGAAAAAATGAAAAATCTTTTTCTCCATGAGTTGTTGAAGAAGAAAAAATGATCTCTGAAAAATACGGCTAGTTAAATGAAATATTAAATGCTAGGGGACAGAAAAGAAAACTGTTTTTGGTTGCCCGCATATACTACCAAAAAAATCTGATATTTGTAAAATCCAAGATTGACAGGGGCAAAGCCATAACTATGCGGGAGTTCTGTTACAATGTCAAAGTATTTTCATAGCTTTGTAAAAACCAAAATAGAACAATTAAAAAAGACTAAGGAATATATACTTTCATAAAAGTATTTTTCAAGTGGATCTGTAAAAAAAAAGGGAAAATTTGTAGAAATGAATCAACAGCTATTTAAATAAAAGATTATTGTTTATAAACTGAATTTAGAAAAAAA